ATATACATATCCTTTACGACTTCCTATAGGAAGCGGATCACCAGCAGCAGCAGCAACTTAGCTATTGCTGCTGCAGCTACTGCTGCTGCTGTTGTTGTTGCTGCTGCTGTTTACTGCTTATAGTTAGTAGTAGCAGCAGCAGCTCAGTTGTTGCTGCTGCAGCTCCTGCTGCTGCTGCTGCTGTTGAATGCCAACAGGCCATAGTGCAGTATATGTAACAAAGAACATTCACCTAACATTATTAACAGCAACAGCAACAACTGCTGCTGCTGCTGCTGTTGCTGTTGCTGTTGCTGCTGCTGTTGCAGTTGCTGCAGTTGCTGCTGCTGCTGCTGCTGCAGTTGCTGCTGCTGTTTAGTGCATGCATATAGATGGCATTAATAGACAATGTATATAACAAAGATTATCCACATATTAATCACAACAATAATTCTATACGTGCTGCTGCTGCTGCACCTATAGAACTACAGCTGCTGTTGCTGCTGCTGCTGCTGCAGCTGCAGCAACTGCTGCTGCTGCTGCTGCTGCTCAATGCCTACACCCAAGAGGCAATAGTACAGTACAAGTAACAAAGATAATAAACATAACATTATGATTATGAAGATTGATACAACATTTCTAGTGCTGCTTCTGCATCCCCATTTGCTGCTGCTGCTGCTGTTGCTGCTGCTGCTGCTGCTGCTGCTGCTGCAGTTTAGTGTCTACATCTAAATGGCCATAATACAGTACAAGTAACAAAGATCATCCACATAACATTATGATTATGCAGATTGATTAGGGCCTCTGCAAAGGGAGACGCAGGATCATGTCCCCCCATGAATACACGCCAACTCTCATGGTGATCTAGACGTGCAGGTCCTCCTCTTGCTGCTGCTCCTGCTGCTGCTGCTGCTGCTGCTGCTGATGGGGAGGAAGAGGAAGAGGAGGAGGAGAATAAACAACGAAGGGATCGTATAGGATATTTACTGACAATTAAATTAACACTCTTTTGCTCATTATTATTATTGTTACTACATTGGAGGCGGGAGAAGAAAGAAGAATACAGACTAAATAAAGAAGAAGAAAAAGGAGAAGAGGGAGGAGAAGAAGGAGAAGGAGAAGAAGGAGGAGAAGAAAAAGGAGAAGGAGAGAAAGAAGAAAAAGGATGATCCATTGGTCTATCTATATATTTTATTATATACGCCTGCATGCATATGCATAAGTATTCATGCATGCACATACATACATACACACACAAAGTAGAAAAAGAAGAAAAATTATTCAATTATATCTTCAATATATACATAAATTAATTAAATATATATAAATTATACACAATAAACTCCTAATTTACCCTCCTTCTGCTGCTGTTGCTGCTCTTTTTGTGTCGCTAATAGTATGCCGCTACCGTGAGCTGCCTATACACCTGAAGCAACGAGTGACACAAGAAGAAGAAGCAAAGAAAAAAAGAGGGAAAGAAGAGGCAATTAAATATATATTTATATTTATATAAAGAAAATAAAGAAAAAAAGAAAAATATTAATATATTATACGCATAGATTACCTTATATATATATAAAAGAAGATTTTCTTTATTGCTGCTGCTGCTGCTGTTGTTGTTTGTTGCTGCTGATGAATATGAATAAAAATTGGGGTGTATAGGCACCTTTCCTTTTCTTCTCTTTTTTATTTATTCTTATTTATAAACATATAAATAAATAAAAAAAAAAGAAAATATACATAAAATATAAATAAAAGAATAAGCAAGAGAAGAGGATACTCAACACATTCATAGTCACCAAACAAATTGCATGCACCAGCCGCTGCTGCTGCTGCTGCTGCTGCAACAGCAGCAGCAGCAGCAGAATATATTTGTGGCTTTTTTCTTATATAATTAATAATAATATTATTAACATTAATATAAATAAATATATTCTTTTTATTTATTTATTTATTTTTTTTATGTTTTTTTCCCCCTTATATACTGTCTTATTATATATACCTGCCTATACACCTCAATAAGCCATAAGAAAAAAAACTCTGTTTTTCTTCTTGTTCCTTTTTCTTCTCCTCCTTATTATTACCATTAATAAGGTGTATATACACCGCAATAAATACAACAAAACAATTCGTATATACACTGTATACACACATGTGTTAGCTAGCTATAGTTAGCAGCTACACAGACAGGCAAGCAGCTAGGTAGCTGCTAGCTAGGTAGCTAGCTAGCTAGGTAGCTAGCTAGCTAGGTAGCTAGCTAGCTACAGCTAGCCAAGGTAGACGGGGAGCTCTGCCATATAGTTGCTAGCTGCCTGGCTAGCTGCAGCTAGCTACAGCTAGCTACAGTTGCTGCAGCTGCTGCAGTTAGTTGCAGCTAGCTGCTGCAGCTAGCTGCTGCATGTGCTGCAGCAGCTAGCTGAGGTGTATAGACACCAACATAAAGACAGCAGACATTGTGTCTACTGTCAACTTCTAAACCCTAAACCCCAAACCCTAAACCCTAAACCCTAAACCCTAAACCCTAGACAACTTGTCGCCATAGACTATTCTTAAGTATCAAGAAAGGGCCTAAGGGTATCTGCAATTCTTTTGTTGCTTCTATTGCTGCTGCTCTTGCTGCTTCTATTGCTGCTGCTGCTGCTGCTGCAGCTTCTGCTGCCTCGGCATCTGCGGGCTCTGCAGATGCCTCAACATTTTGCTGCTGCTCTTGCTGCTGCTCTTGCTGCTGCTGCTGCTGCTGCTCAATGCTGTAAGGGGCGAAGGGCTCAACACCCCACAGCTGCGTCTCTCTCTTCCTGATGACCAGCCGCCAAACGGCTGCTGTTGCTGCTGCTGTTGCTGCTGCTGTTGCTGCTGCTGTTGCTGCTGCTGTTGCTGCTGCTGCCGCTTCCGTTGGTTGTGTTGCTGCTGTCGCTTGTATTGCAGTTGTTTCTGCTGCTGCAGTTGTTGCTGTTGCTGGTGCCTCAGCTCCTGTTGCTGCTGCTGCTTCCCCTGCTGCTGGTGCTGCTGCTTCCCCTGCTGCTGGTGCTGCTGCTGCTGTGGCTGTGGGGTCTGCTGGAGGTGCAGCAGACGGCACTTCACCATTAGCAGCACTGATAGCAGCAGGAGCAGCAGAATCAGAATCAGCAGCAGCAGCAGCAGAAGCAGCAGCAGCAGAAGCAGAAGCAGCAGAAGCAGCAGCAGCAGCAGCATTAGCAGCAGCGGGGCTGAGCCTGTACTGCAGCAGATCAAGCTCCCCATGGGGTATTCCTGCCCAATGCCACTCAACTATTTGCTGCTGTTGCTGCTGCTGTACCTGCTGCTGCTGCTGCTCTGTAGAAGCAGCAGCAGCTGTACCTTCGCAGTCATTCACTGCTTCTGCTGCTTCTGCTGCTGCTGCTGTTGCTGCTGCTGCTGCGTCGCCCTCCTGCTGGCTTGCTGCTGCAGCAAGAGGGATTTCTTCATTGGGTCCTTCAGAAATAATCTTCACATACAGCTGCAGCACAAACAGCAGCAACAGCAGCAGCAGCAGCAGCAGCATTAGCAGCAGCAGCATTAGCAGCATTAGCAGCAGCAGCATTAGCAGCATTAGCAGCAGCAAATTCCTTATGTTATCTTACTACTCCCTTATTAAGGGAAAGAGTTGTCTTGTGGGGTTTTTGCTGCAGCGGCAGCAGCAGCAGCAGCAGCACATTCTGCTGCCCTTCGCTGCACTGCAGCACCTGCAGCTGCTTGGATACTCTTATCTTCTCTGCTGCTGGTGCTGATGGAGCTGCTGCTGCTGCTGCTGCTGCTGCTGTCTTGGCTGTTCCTGCTGCTGGCTCCACTTCAGCTTCTGAGGATGCACAGCTAACTGCTGCTGCCCCTGCAGTTGCTGCTGCAGTTGCTGCTGCAGTTGCTGCTGCAGTTGCTGCTGCAGTTGCTGCTGCAGTTGCTTCTGTATCTGCTGCTGCAGTTGCTGTTGGAGCTGCCTCTGCATCTGCTGCAGCAACAGTTGTTGCTGACGTTGCTTCTGCATCTGCGGCTGCTGCTGCTGCTGCAGCGGCGGCGGCAGCAGCAGCTGTGCTTCCTGCTGCAACAGCAGTTATTTTTTCTATGTCTGCAGCAGTTTCTGTGTCTGCTGCTGCAGCAGCAAACGCAGCTGCAGCAGCAGTTGTTGCGTCTGCTGCAGCAGCAGTTGTTGTGTCTGCTTCTCCTGCATGTGCACCACCAGTGCATGCAGGATCTGCAGCTGCTGTTGCTGTTGCTGCGTCTGCTACCTCATTTGCATTGGCATTTGTTGCTGCGTCTGTTGCTGTTTCTGCTGCAGCAGCTGCTGCTGTTTCTGCTGCAGCAGCAGCTGCTGTTCCTGCTGCAGTTTTATCTGCTGCAGCAGCAGTCGCAGCAGAACCTTCGCTTGCAGCTGTAGCAGCAGTTGTGGCTATGTCTGCTGCACCAGCTGCTGCTGGCTCTGCTGCAGCAGCAGCTGCTGGCTCTGCTGCAGCAGCAGCTGCTGCTTCTGCTGCAGCAGCTGTCGTTAAGTTTGCCGCTTGTCCTGCTGCTGCTTTTGTTACTGCTACTGCTGCTGTCGCTATTTCTGCTGCTGCTGGTGCTGCTGCTGCTGCTGTCTCTATTTCTGCTGCTGTTGCTGCTAGATCTGCTGCTGCTTCTGCAACATCTGCTACTGCAGCGGATACTCCTGCTTCAGCAGCAGCAGCAGCTTCTGCTGCTGCTGCTTCGTTATCCTCCGAGCTGTCTGCATCCGCTGCTGCGGAGGCAGCAGACGCATGCGGCAGGGATGATGTCTTGTTGTTTTTGCTGCTGCTGCTGCTGCTGCTGCTGCTGGCAGCAGCAGCAGCAGCAGCACCAAAGACAACAGGTGCCTCTATATTGAGTTGTCTTTTAGCTTTGATGAATTTTGCTGCTGCAGCAGATGTATCCACCTCAAGAGGAAGCTCAATTACCTACCAGCAGCAGCAGCAGCAGCAGCAGCAGCAGCAGCAGTAGAAGCAACAGCAGCAGCAGCACCGTGTGCAGCATAAGTAGACGAAGGGCAACTGCCA